GAGCCCAGAAAGGAACGGAGAGGCTGATTATGCCTGCCCAGCGCTGAGGGCCCTTGAGGGTTTAGGGCTGATCGCTTTGTTCTGTGGGGTTTTGAAGACTGAGGGCCTCGAGCCTTTACGATTAGGGATTTACAGTTTAGGGTTGCTATTTAATGTTGGGATTGGGTTCTGGGGGTTGTTGGGATGGTGGTCAGCAGGGCTGTTCCATGCCACCCCCGGAAAGGAATTTCTGGCGTGAGCGAAGAGTCGGTTCCTCGGAATATGTCGGAACAAACATGACACAGGGCTCGAATCGCCGCTTAAGCCCTAGTTCCGCCAAATGCCAGGGTCCAAGTACCAAGCGATCATATACTCCTGCAGCCTCCAGTACTACTGTCCCATACCAAAGTACCTTCTTATTTGATACTGGTACTTTGCACCGCTGTGCAAGCTCATACAAAGACCTACATCAAACCCCGCTTATATAGCCCATAACCCGGAGTACATTTTATTGGGTCCTTTGCACCCTGCACGTCCATGAATTCGACACCCCGAAGAGCCCAGGTGGTGAGCCCAGGTTCGCAGATTTACGGTCAAGACCTGAGCCCGGAAACCTTGTTGTACAATCTCAAACTCGGGTGTAAGTGTTTAGGGCTTAGAGAAATGATAGTAATAACAAGAATATTCAGGAATAATACGACTAGTAATGGTGATGGAAAGGGATCGGTTTGCAATGTAGTCTGACCAGGGACCGCAACAAAGAAACAAGTCGGAGCAGTTCTCTTTTTGCTGCACCCAGCTTGTTTAAGAACGGTTGCTGACGACAAACTATCCTTCCGTGACTCCTGAACCCGTCGAACCCCAGTGCATTACCGTCTACGCTACCGCGAGCCCGAATATCTAAACTCAACACCAAACCAAGAAGGGTAATCATGGGTAATCCCTATCTAAACCTCATTTAACCTACCGGTTTCAGGACATATACTAAGGAATCTTAGAAAGGTAGGTTTCCTAGGCTGCAGGTCAACCCCAACGCCCTGCGCGTCAGTCCGGGTTCCTGCCTAGGAGGCTCAAGGCGGCACAGGTCCGAAATCCTGGAGCTCTTGTGTTGAAGCAATGCTTCGGAGGTCCCTAAAAATATTGTGCAACTTGTTTCTGAGTAGGGGAGTTTCCAAGGTATGGATGATTAGTGCTCGGAGTCATTTGCATCTCCCTACGGTCGCAGGTTTTGGGGCTTTGAGTACGGAGAACGCGAACGTACTTCAAGCCTACTTGAGCATGGGGCATAGGCTAAGTGGAATATCTTCTGTGGCGAAAGCACTCTTAAAACGCAGGAGTACCCGACCCTAAATCCTAAACACCTGAGTACCATTTGAATGAGCCTAGCTGGGCGTCTCCAAGGTCATGTCGGGATCAGCTTCACTCGTCGTATGTGTGCGAATGCCCACCAATTGCACAATCCCTGCGAAACTCCAAAAACGATTCATGACATGGTACCGGACGCTACACACCCCTAAACCTTTGAACAATAAACCTAAACCTTGTGTCTCCATCCTGAACCCCTCCTTTTGGCCCTAAACCCCCCAATGCCACCTAAACCCCCCGTGGCCTGAAACCCTAAACCGCCTAAACCCCCTTTGGCCCGAGACCCTAAATCCCACATCCTACCAACCCCAACGCCCTTTGGCCCTAGACCCTAAACCCCCTTGGCTCTAAACCCTAAGCCGCATACACCCTAAACCCTAAAAAGCCTAAACCGCCTACACCCTAAACCCTAAAAACCCTAGACTAAAGCCCAAAATCCTAAAACCCTAAACCCTAAGCCGCCTCAACCCTAGAGCAACACAGCCCAAGGCTCCACAGCTTTCCGGATCTCTCGCCGATCCGGGGGTTATGCAGGCAGCAGCCATGGCCCCAAGGTGGATTGGGTTTAGGGTTTGTAGGGTTTAGATATGGGAGGGTTGGGTTTAGGGTTTTGGGCTTAGATATAGGAGGGCTGAGTTTAGGGTCCAGGGCTTAGGGTTTGTAGGAGCCTACATCAGGGCTTAGGGTTGAGGGTATCGGGCTGAGGGTTTAGGGTTTCAGTTTGTTCAGAAAGTTTCGGGTTTGTGGCTTACGGCTCAGAACGTGCGGGCTTGGGGTTCTGAGATTGCTTAGGATTGGGGGTGCAAGGGCTTAGAGCTTTTTGGGTTCAGTCTGTGGAGCATAACTGTGCTTTTCATAGGTCCCGAAGCTCCAGGCAGCAGCAAAGGGATGTTGCCACGGTCCTAAGTGCGGAAGGGGCTGAAGCGGTTCTTCCCCAAACTGGAATCTCCACACCCTAATTACTGTCAGCCTGAATCTCCAAGCCCTACACCCAACAGAAGCCTTCCAACATCGACCGTATAAGTAAAACCATTAGCAGCCGCGAATCAAAATCCGAATAAAGTTATTCAACAAACGCTCAAAGCGCCCTTCAGAACCCTTATCAAAAGCTCTGACACTTATTAAACTGCAAACCCTAATCACCTAAATCGCCGAAAGAGCTGGGCATCCCGGGCCCAATCGAAAGCGTCGACGAACCACGCGGGAAGCCAGCCCTGGATAGACCTCAAGTTGGGCTTGGGGTCTAAGGTTTGGGGTTCAGGAAGAACTACCTTAAACTACCAAACCCTCCCCATTGTAGGTTCTTATTATAAACCCTAATATGAAATTTATAGGGACCCTACAAAATAGTAGGGTTTGGTTTGTTAGGGTAGACGGGTTTGCAGGGTTTCAGGTGTAGGGTTTGAGGCTTCGGGTTTAAAAGTTGCTGGCGAAAGATTTATATAGGGCTTCGGGTTCAGGAAGAAGCATCAGGGCTCCTTAGGCGTTGTCGGGAGTTTGTAGAGGCATACAGGGGTTTGCAAGATGCTCCTGCAAGGCTAGAACCGGATTTGGTGCTGAAGGTTTGGCTTTAGCTTGTTGGGAGGTACCCTTCATTGGGAACCTCCCGCGTACAGCGCCGCTATACGTCCCCGATCCTTTAACCAGGCGTCACCTGACATTGCTGATGGCGCGTGCAAAGTGGGTACTACTATACTAAGCGTGTATTACCCGATACTCTGTAGACGTTAGCCTCCCAAGGCAACTAACAGTTGGTAGTTTACACTTGGAGTCGTACACTGCAAGGCCCAGGAGTGGTGAAACACTCTAGCGGGATCGGAGGTTCAGGATGTGGGTTTGGGCAGGATTGTTGAACTAAAGTGCACATGTCAATTCAAGGTCCATACCCGACATACCCGAGACTCCAGACCACCCATATAGTGGTTTAACTAGGTTTTGAAGGAATCACCCTCTCCGATAATACCCTTTGTCGGAATACTTAAAGGGCAGGAGGGTAGTAAATTACTGGAGAGGAGTTCGATGCTAGCTGAAGAACCGTGTCAACAGCCAACTGCATACCCCCTATCTGCAACTGCACATGAAGCTTCCAGTCGCACCTACACTCCGAGTTAACAGGGCTATAGAAACCGAGCGCGACGAACCTCCAGATGCAGTCACAGGACCCAATACCTTAATTACGGAAGATACCGGGAATTACATGACATGGGCAGTCGAGGCTCTTTTTCCCCGAGCGAACGTGGTCGGGCGTGTCTCACCGACATCTTGGGCGAGCCCGAAGTTGCTCCTATCTCAAGACCTCTTCAGGTAGGGATAGGGTTTAGGTTAGGGGTCTAAGCACTGACACTAAGCTGACCTTATTGCTGCTACTACTCATATTTCCACTCCTACACCGCTACCACAACCTCTACTACCACTGCTGCTACTACCACTACGACGACCACTGCGACGAACCCTTATAAAGACCTGAACATTAAACTGGCAGAAAAGGCGGTCAGTCAAGGAAGGAATGCTCGGCATCTGCAGGCGCCACCGCAGCGGTCGACCAGCCGATAGCCTCTTAGAATGTAGAATGTAGAGGTGGTGTATGCCTCAAGACCTAAGTAAGGCTTTGGGCCAATCTGTAGGTTGCTTGTTTTCCGGTGGAGGATTTTGGCCTCAGGAGTTGTTGGGATTTTGTTCTGGCGAAGTGCGCATGCATTTAAGGCTGAAGGTTAAGGCCACAGGCTTGCATGGGTTGAGGAAATACGGCTGTGGGACCCTCATGTGAGATAAAAAATGCACAAGACCCTGCAGGGAGGCCTTGCAAGACCGAACCATCACATCATAAACCCCCCACTCCGAAATCCTTCCAATGTGGTTCCCTTTAGTAGAAGCCTGATGGTCCCCAATCGTGGGTAACTTAGGGTGTTATAAGGGGAGTTGCTGGGTCCAGCTAAAAATACCCTGCAAAGAATCTAAAGCCCTAATTAAGCTGGAAGCCCTCAGCCCGAAACCCCGAAACCCTGAACCTCCAGGAACCCTTTTGAACACCCGCGCCTTCTCGCGTGAGAGGCCTGGCATGAACGGCCGCAGCGGTGAGACAGCCTCGGCTGCTACAAAGAGCCCAGCATCCCGAAGCGCCCCAACTCGGATATGGATACTTCAAGGTGTATACAGAGCTTAATGGAACTGTAACCAACTATGTATCTTACTGGGCCCCGAAACCAGCATCCTTTAATTACCGGCTTTATGTAAGGAGGAGGATCAGGGCTTCTTTAAGCCTAACTGGGGAGAAGAAGCTCATAATTGCAGGTATTGAGGGTATAGTAGAGGCGGGGCGGCTTGACCCAGGGCTTAGGCTCTGCAATAACTAGTGGGTGCTATAAGGCCCTGCAAGATTAGGGTTTTTACAGGCTTGAAAAAGGGGTCAGGAGTTGTGAGTTGGGGCTACTGGATATCCAAGACCCTAGTGAAGGTCTTGCAACACATCCTGAACCACGACACAGGAACCCCTTTCTCTGCTTGAACAACTTGGACACCTATGGGAAGAAAGGATCCTCCCTTGCGAGTCGGATGAAACTGCCGCCCTCGCCCCTTGGAGTGTGGGGTTGCAGGTAAGTCGGGTTTCAGGTCTAAGGGCTGGGGTTTAATATTCACCTCCATTCCACCCCCCGAATTCAGAAACTTGTGTTTGGATCAGTTGCCGGCAGCATGGTGTCCTGCGATACGAGCGCAGCATAATCTTCATCATCGCCTGGGAAAGTGTGGGGGCCGCTGGCACTGAAGTGCTTGAAGGTTCTTGGGTGGTAGCTGAAGTATACAACCTACGATAATATCGCTGTGGCAGGTTTGGAAAAATGCTCTGGCCCCCAAACCTCGGTGGTCTCGACTTCTTTCTCAAGAAGCCATGACCCTAAACGTTTGATTTAGGGCTTTGGGGGTGTTGAAGCTAAAGGCTTTCTACATCGTTGGATTTCTGTATCCACCTACACCTAGAGTATTCAATGCACCTTAAGAAAAAATGGATATGACACTTAAACAAAGTTCATTCAGCTTTTCAAGGTACCTTGGTTGCTCTAGGTACACTTAATGCTTGGTAGAAGGTAAGCACAGGCCAGGGGGAGCATGGCCCAGGTTCTGCCCAGGGGTTTGGGCTGAGGGTTCAGGGCTGTAGGGCTTCCTTGGTCTTACAGGGAACTCCAGAAAGTTGGAATATGGATTAATGGTAGGATCCCCTATGATTTACCTTAAAGGCATTACGATAATGATATTCCAACTTTCTGGCTTCTACTGTAGGGTTTAGGTTTTAGGGTTCAGGGCTTAGGGTCTAGGGGTTTTGGGCTCAGGGTTCAGGGCTTCAGGGTTTAGGGGTTTAGGTTTCCTAGGTCTTCGTGCTACAGACTTAGCAGACAGCTTTGCGGCTGACTTCCTGGAGGCTGCAAAACCCCTGTAAACACACAAACCCTGAAACGTAAACTCATATAGCTCGATGAGCCGCTGAACATTAAACTACCCCAAACCCCCAAGACCCTAAACCTGAACCTTCAACCTTTGGCCCCTCGAAGATTTCAAGACTCCCGGTACAACCAACGCAGCTCGGCGTCTATCAAATGGATCGCCGTCAAGCTCCTCGGCACCCGGTTCTACTTGGAGGTTCATGGGCGGTCTTGAGGGTTCCTTTAAGGGTTCTTTTAGGGTTGGGGTTTGGGGGGTATTCTTGGAGGATCATGGGTAGCTATAGGTGGGGTTATACGTCCCTGAATATGGGTTACAGGTACAGTCACCCTACTTATAGCACTACTTATAACTACCCATGAACCTCCAAGTAGGCTAGGCTTACGGTTCAGGGCTGCTCCTGTTTTGCAGTGAACTTCAAGCCCCGCACGCCCTCCCAAAGAAACACATCTCCATTGATGGAAACTCCATCAACCATATGGAACGTGCAGCAGAGGTCATGCAGTTTGGACAGGGAGCACAGATCATCCAATTCTCACCGAAGGCTTCTACATGAACCTAAAGACTCGTTTAGGGTTTCGGGATGTCTTAACCATCAACCCTGACCCCTCGAACTACAAACATAAACCGCCAATACCACAACTTTTTGCCCGCAAGCCGGAAGCGTAAATCACAATCGGGACCTGAATAATTAGAATACGGCTTACGTTAAAAATTGTCTACTGTCACAAATATACTCTTACTCAGTAATCATGAATACATGGCTATATCCCTAAGGGTCCATGTACCCATATAGCATATACTTTGGGCCCAATGTACCTACATAGGGAGTACTCTAAAGCCAGTGTATCTACTCTATGAGTACATGGACCCTTAGGGTATTCAAACGCCTTTGTTCCGCCAAAGTTCCGGGTCGGGCCGGACCTCCCGGCGCACGGGTGGCACAGGCGGTCCCCGCGGGGCGGGCCGCGTCTCCTGCACCTTCCGGGGCTGCAGGGCTTTGCCAGGGCTTGGATAAAAGGTTTAGGGTCTATAATAGGGTTAAGGGTTTAGGGTCCTTACGGGGTCTATAGGGCCCTATCTATTATTTGCACAAGGTTTCCGCCGTTGTTTTCCACGTCTCTGGATGGTAGCCCTAAGTACCGACTCCCGAATGTACTCTAAACCAGTCTAAACCCTGAACGTGAGCCCCAAAACCCATTCAAAAATCTGGGCCCTATCGTCAACATCCTTCTCGAGCCCGGATAAACAACCAGGAAGACCCTCGTAGAACCCCGTTAGAGTTGGTATAGGAACCTGATTGCGCCCTTTCGAACCCTGTAACTCGCTCATTGAGAAGCGCTGGAGCAACCTTTACAGAACTCTTAGCCCTGAGCTCGAAGCAAAAAAAGAACACCTGAATTCTAAGCTCGGTGCGTAAAGCTCGTAGGTCAGCAATCGATCGAGGAGCCACTTTTTTCGCAGCTCCTGGCCGAAAGCTCCGGCTGGCGAAGCACACGGCGCACTGGATTTTGGGTGGAGGTTTAGAGGGCCAGATGAACAGTTTGGACCGGTGACTTTCCTATGGCAGTTTGGGGCGACCCTGAGAAACCTCTTTTGGAAGCCAAATGGACAATGTAAGCCCTGCCCTAAACCCTAAACCCCTAAACCCCTATATCCCTTGTGCCCAGTAGTCCGTCCTTGAACCCTATCCCGGGAACCTTCTCTTTGGTTGACAAAGGTCCCTCAAGCCAAACCCAAAAACACCATAAACACGAAAGCCTAGTATAGGGGCCTTGATAACAAGACTAGGGTTTGGGCGCCCATTATCCTACAATTTATAATAAGGAAAACCCAATTAGTATAGGTAGTTATTTAGCCCCCCATGTTAAACCCTCTAGACCCGAGCCTCCGGGAAGCGTCCGCTCATGGCCTGCGCCTGTGGGTCAGAGGCGAACTTCGACGCAAAACGTGTCACGCAAGGTTCAGTTTCGCGAAACCCTAAGGCCTAAAAATCCCCAACAACCTGCACCCTAAACCCTAGAATCCTCCTGATTCGATCACGGACTATTTTCGAAGAGGCTCGCAATCCTCGCCGAGGACTACGCACTCATGTACACCTCCTTTCCTGAAGGGCCACAAAGGCAGACAAAGCCGGCCCCCCTCCCCCCGGCCAAAGAAACGAACACAGAAACACGCCGAACAGACATACACGATACGAGGGCCTTGATGTCTAGATTCGGGCTTGGGGGTGTACGACTTCAATATCCTAGGGGGTCCTCCTTAATTTACTGCTACTATGAAATGAGGTCCCCAAAACCGCATTAAGGATGGTCTGTGGGACACCACTCCATAATGGTAGTGTACATATATATATATATAATGCACACATGTATGCACCCTCCGGGTATACTTTAAATGAGGATCTTTAGGGCACCCTGGAAGCTCCCTCAAGCACAAGACTGAAAACATTGCCCTGGGCTCCAGTTGGGTTGGGGGTTTAGGCTTTAAGGTTCATGCAGGTCTTTGTTTTTTTCGAGCTCCTTTTTCCCAGAGGCAGCATCCGCAACTTCTAAGTTCATGCAGGTTTTATGATTTAAGGTTTAGGGTTTTATGGCTTTAGGGCTTAAGATCCAGTTCAGCCAATGGACAGTGTGTAGGACGTTTCATGTCAGAACTACTAAGCTTTAAACCCCAAACCCTGACCCCTACACCTCAAAGCTCGAAACCTTGACCCCTGTTAAACTTAAACTCTCGACCCCTGAACCTGACCCCTCAAGCGCCACTCAAATGCTTAATGCGTACTTGGAGGTTCATGGGTAGTTATAAGTGGGGCTACAAGTCCCCTAAATATGAGCATAAGTATAGTTACCTTAGGTCCAAGCCTTAGGTATAACCCTATTTATGACTACCCATGAACCTTCAAGTAAGCCCTAGAGCTGCCTAAGAAAGGTACGGTTTCGCCTTCTCCGATAGCTGCACATCCCAGTTCAATCCCTGAGCTTTGCAGATCTTCCTGACCGGGGCTTTGAGTTTAGGGGCTTTAGGACTTTATAAGGTTCCCTTAAAGGGATCCATACGGGTACTACAAGGATCTAGAGGGTTTAGGGTTCAGGTTTTTCGGGTGTAGGGTTCAGGGTTTAGGGATCTGAGTTCGGGTTTGAGGGTCTGGGTTTTGAAGTTGGGTTTGAGGGTTTAAGCTTCGATGTCCCGAGTCTGGAAACCCTATGATTTTGGTAAAGCTCATAAGCCCTTTTACTAGTCGCATAAACCCCGGTGTGACGAGGTACCTGTGTTGTTTCTGGGCTTTTTTGCCAAACTGCAAGTCTGAGGGCTTCAGCGTGAGAGCTTAGCTTAGCATCCGCTGGGCCTAAACATGTGTGGAAAGTCAGAGCTTGGCTTAGGATTTCAGGTTTCGTGTTTAGGCCTTGGAGTTTAGAGTTAAGGGTGGGTCGGAGCTACTCGAAACAATGTAATCATGTCGTAGGATCTCGGACGAATCAGTGTCCATCCATTCTGCCGGACAGGGTTTCTAGGCAGATTTCCCCTTAGACCCGAAATAGCCGCAAAACCTCACAATCACACAACGCAGTTTCGATGCTCAGAAACACGAAAGTGCCACTCCGTGGAAAAATCTCAAGACCATGAGCCATGTAACCCGACAGCGCCCTGAAGCCTCAGACCATGCTGCCTATCTGAAGCCCTCTTGCCGGCAAGCATCTCAAGCTGGCTAAAATGTTGCGTCTGCCACCTTTTCGTGGGGCGCGCGTGTTTAAGGCTTGACCTTCTTGTCTCTACCCGGACTCCATACATGTTCCGCCACGGTTCCATAAGAAGGGTTGCATAAGGGTTCCTTAAGGGTTTAGGGCTGCAGATCCCGGGTATGGAGGAGAAGGACTTTCGAATTTAGAGTTCAAGCTGAAGCGTAATTGTCATGTCGTGTAACTTGTTAAGGAACCGCAGGGAGAGCGACGAAATCCAGCAATCCAAAAAACTACAGCTGTCGTCCGTAGGAACCTTACTCTCGACTCCAAAAGGCCTTGGGCTTGTAAAGGTTTGCCCTAACCTCGAGAAAAACAACACTGTGAAATTGACAACTGCGAGACCAAGAGACGATACTGTAACAGATGCCTCAACGGCCTTAAGCTTCATCATTTGAAAAGGGTCTTGCGGGAATGCACTATTGGAACTACTATACAGCAGGGGATAGTATACTGCTATAAACTAGTTCTTCTTCTTGCGGACTGTAGAGCCGTTTTGGAGGGGCTGTGCGTCCCAAAAAACATGCAACTGTGATGACACTGGGTTTGGTGTCTAAGTCAAAGTCAAAGTACTAACTACTCAGGACCCCAAACTCGAGTCTCCATGGCCCAAGAGACGCAATAACTGCTTTTCTGGAGCTTGAGCTAAGCTGCTGCAGGGGCTTGAGTGATTAGAATAGGGCTTGGTATAATAAACAGCATCAATATATAGATGGGAATGCTTGTGTATATAATGGACTAGAATTCTATTCAGTCCTTATAAACTACCTTATGGACATCTGGCTGTTAAGAAAACATAATACATAATACATACTTCAGAGTTCACTAATCCTCAGCCCTCAACCGTTTTTCTCAGACCCCTGAGGCCTGCAATGGTCAAGGTGCGAAGCAAACGACTCGGAAGGCAAAGTTGCAGCGCATGAACCAGCTCCCAAGTTGCCGTAAAGGGCTACTCCTTCATTTCCTATGCAGATCCGGCAAGCCACGCCATCCAGCCGAAACCCTGAACTGAACCCTGTACGACTCGCTTTAAATTAAACCAGAAACCCCAAGCCCTAAACCCCGTTTCGCCCTTTGCCTTGGACCCTGTAGGCCCTGTAAGCCCTAAACTCCTAAACCCCACGCCCTTTGCCCTAAACTGCCGGAAGAGGTGCTCTGCCAGCTTCACATGCAGGGACTCCGGCAAATGGACACCTGGAGGCGGAAGCTTTGAACTAGGGTTTCGGGTTTCAGGGTTTAGGGATGGCTGGTGGTCTTTCCGAGGCTTTGAGGCAGGTTGGGCGTCAGGTTCGGGATGGCTGTTCGGGGCTAGGGGTTATCCCTAAACTCTCAGCCCCCGAACCGAAAAGTTACAAAGGGCTTCGCGGTATAGGGGCTTTACTGACTAGAATGTATGACTGAACTGTACAAAGTCTTTCAAGCATCAAGAGCATTGGGAATCTGGCACCCAACCCTAAACCCTAAACCCAAAGAATCGCCTTGCAAGGGTGTGACAAGTTTGGACTCGTCTAGTCGGTCTTGGCGAAGGCCACAGTGTGCGCTGAGGTGTTGCATCAACCTCGCGTGCCGCCAAAACCCAATACCCAGAAACCTAGACCCCAAAAGCCCGCAATCCGACAATGCGACATCCTGAAAACTCACTTCAAGCAGTGACCGCCAAAAATCCCCTAAATTTTGAACCCTCACCCCCTAGTTGATAGTTGCTGATCGTTATCACTGCCTGGTCTCAGGTACTCCTCTGCAGAGACGACCCCTCGCAACATCGAGGCTTCCAACCTGGCCGGGTTCCGATTCCAAGGGGCTCCGGAATTCTGACTTTGGGCTGATGGAGTTTACGGCTTCATTCGCTTTGCTTAAGAGGCTTAGTAACGGTTTAGGGTATAGAGTAGTTTAGTAAAGTCCGGGTGAGGATCCTCAGATCGTGGGCCTCTAGGGACAATGGGCATTGCAGTTCTGTAACACACTAAGGGATGAGACAGCAATGCTGCTGTGCCAATTCTGCGAGCTCCCATGCCCAAACGAAAAGGGGGACAAGCGGCTCACGTGCATCCGACTCTCTCTAAACTCCATATGCCAAGCTACCCCTTCACGTACTTTGCCGTGAAAATTGAGCGATCCACCCAGGATTGCAGCACTCGACGCACGAGCGGCTGCTTCCTTTCGCCTGGAGAGGAGACTCCTAGAGGCCCAGGCAATAAAGCGGCCTTAATGATTAGGGTAGTTGTCAAAATTATGGTCCCTTTTTGGGTATCCTATCAGGTGCCGTAATATATGTTTAGGACCCAAAAAGGGACCCTAATTTTGACAACCACCCGTTAGACTAGGGTCGTGGAACTCCTTCGGTAGGAGAACAACAGGAAATGTTAGTAGTTATTATTTATTATACAAGCTTCTATATATTCTGTATTGGTCTATCTTAATTTCATGGAGTGAAACGACGATTCAATGATAAGAACACTATAAGAATTCGTAGCGGGCTAATCGCGGGATACATGATGAGAAGAAGGCTTTTCGGGGTGTACTGTAGTATGCTTGTATATGGACTACGAAAGGATGATTTCCGGTTATCCAGATATAACCCTGACTCTTGAAACCTCCAGCATCCTTCGATGAATAGAGGAATCCTGAACCTCAAGCGCCCTTAGAACCATCATGAAATAATGGTGCTGCTAATAGTTTGGGGTTCTTGTACAGTACACCCTGAACCCTAAACCCCATATACTAAAGACATACAACATTGGTACAACATGACTGAAGCCTCAGCCCCAAATACTAAAACACAGAATAATAAGCCCAGCAACCCTGGAAGAGCACATGGAACTTCTCGAAGACGCCGGGAAGCTCGTGTTCAAACTCGCGCTTGTACACCTCGGATTCCGATTTTGACTTTGGGCCATCGTTCAAGAACTATAGGAGATTCAATCATTTGGGGTACCTCGGATTCCGGGGTTGGGGTTTACTTTTGGCTTTTGGCTTAGGTTTTGCTGGGACCATTCCGGATTCTAACTACCAGAAAGGGTCTAGGTGTTTAGCGGTTTAGGGTTTAGAAGTTGAGGGGTTAGGTGTTTAGGGTTTAGGAATTAGGGTTTAGGAATTATAGGGTCAAAGGCTCCATGTACCTTTATAGTAGATACTTAGGCCCTAAAGTAGTCCCTATAGGGTTTAAGTTTTCGGCTCTGCTTCTGAGCAACAATGGCGCCCTGCCTGTAGATCGTGGCAGTATTGTGCCTCAGTTGCTGCATTCTACCTAAACCCTAATGCCCCAAAGTAGTTCCTTTTTGGGGTTCATATATAGAATCCTATAAGGTAATCCAAAAAAGGAACTACTATGGAGCCTCTGGGTAAACCCTAAATTAACTAAACCCTGAACCCCTGAAATAGACCAGATAATGACATGTTCAACACTAGCTACTTGGCCAAGCCAGCAGTAGAACAAGACGAAACACCACAGTTGCATTGGGACTGAGATGTTGGCCGTGCAGACATCGTGCGGTCTACATGTCGGCTCCCCTTGTTAAACGGTTGAGGCTAAGTCACGTTCTGAAAGTCTGGGAACTCCCATGCTGCTGGATACTTGGGAGATCAAGGGTTAGCTCTTGAAAATCATCCAAGAGCCATAGGGCTTAGGCAGTACTTGGTCTCTACAGCGGATCTCTTGGACTCGTTCTTTTTTGCGGTTAGGTTTTTTTTCAGGGTTTAGTGTGGAATGACGTGGAAAAAAGTTCGTCAATGGGATCCAGTTCACACTTCTTAGTCCAAGCTCAAACTTTCGACCCTAATCAAGCCCTAAAGCCCCAGCATGGAACTCCGAACCCCCTAAACCCTAAACCTGGAGTAGCCTTGCTGGACAGGGTGCAGAATGTCGGAGACAACACATAGTCGGAGGGACCTGTGCCAGGAAGCAGGGTGTGCTGGGATTGGGAAGGTTTAGGGCACGGCGTTTCTGATCTACGTCCAGTAGAAAGAGTTCGTAGGTTGTCACTGTAGAGTCAGATGTGTAGAACCCACATCACAGCATTGTGAGACATTTCGGTCACGATTGAGGAGCGCATCTTGTGAAACCTCTCGCTGCTCACCCATGTCAATGATTGTGCATGACGAAGATTCGCTCAGAGAAGGTAATTGTGGTCTTGACGTGTTCTGGTACATGGCAAAGACCGTGACAGTTCTGTGCTGTAAGATACCTGGGTCTCGAACTCATGTGTGGTTCCTTATTCAGAGCAATCGGCCAGTGCCGAAGACGATCCCCGCTGGAAAGGTGAAGGAGGGTTTCAGGCTGGCATTTGGTGAGGGCATGTACTTGTACATAAGCCCCTTCGTTGCCATAATCGGATCGGCGTTGCTTTTGGAGGGTATCAACAACTTCTTAGTCATCTGAGTATCAAGATGTAGCACAAGATGCTTCCATCAGGTAAGCCCGAAGAGAGTTCTCGAAGCAGCGGCGCCTCTGCATTGGATCCAGCCCCTCCTGCGCCCAAACCCTGTCTGAACCCTTATTAAGCACGATAATTCCGGTTGAAGTAGAGTTGGGGGCTTAAGGTCTCTTTAGTGTTGAACTGGCCTCACATCTCTCATTAGTGGCCATTTAGTTTAGTTGATACAAAAAAAGGCAGCTGGGGGCCAAGGCTTGCAAGACCGCAATGCTGCAGTGACTCGGGCAATGCAAGACTTCCCTAATTCCTATCCTTTCAACCATGGAGGGTTTTGTCCATGAGCAGGTAATTGCATATGACATGGCTACCTGTCGTAGCTGCTCGTTGGCTCTCCCTGGTTCAGACTAATTACTGCTAATTTCAATGGCTTAAAGCGGGAAGTGGGGTCCAAAGATCAGGGAATCGGCGGCTTACCGCATGAGAGGTCTTTGCGTGGTCCTCGCGCGATAGCCGCTCCAAACCCGAATCGCCCGACCTGAAAAACCCTATACATGCTCTACTTGGAGGTTCATGGGTAGTTATAAGTAGGGTTATATGTCCCCTAATATGAGTTATAAGTATAATACCCTACTTCTAACCCCGCTTATAACTACCCATGAACCTCCAAGTACACCCTAAACTCCATGTGGCCCAAGAGTAGGGGGGCCAAAACCCTAAACCCTAGGCTCTCTCTGCGTGTCCTCTGTGAGACTGTCCAGCACTAACCGTGAAATATCCACGGCGCACTCCACGGTGTCGAGACACCACACCTCGGTATCCGCGCAGGCCCGAAACCCTAAACTTAGGGTTTGGGATATGTATGGCCGCAAATACCGTAATCTCAAAGCTCCCAACCCGGCAACTGTTGAACCTCTCATACGATAGGCCCCCAACCCAACAAAAAAACATACACCCTCCTTTCCTCCCTGTACGCCCCGAAGGTAAAGATAGGAAACACACGAGGCGGAAGGACTCCAACTAACAGGAGCCTCGTTATCAGGACCCAGAATACTTAGTAGGATCCTTATAATCCCAACCACATCCAGTCCTTGGAGGTTCATGGGTAGTTAGAACTGGGGTTACAAGTAGGGTAACTATACTTATAACCCATATTAGCAGACATATAACCCCACTTATAACTGCCCGTGGACCTGCAAGTAGGACATGCAAAAGCTTGTGTGGGGGGGAAGCCCTCAGACCCACAGTCTCGCATACCTCGGAGGCCTGCAAAGGTGGGATGAAGGTATGTAGAGATAATGTAGGAGCCTGATTAAGAAACCTTGGGCCATTATTAGGGTTCCTTACATGAATCCTACTATTTTGGGGGCTATAGGCAGAGGGTTTCTTAATCAGGTTCCGACATTAAGGACTCTTGGATGGGATTACTTGGAGGGTCGGGGGACTTAGTAACTGGTTATTTTAAGGTCTTATAAGTACCATAACCCCAATTAGGGTCCCTTTTCGGATACTTATAAGTCTACTTACTACCTACTTACTAAGTCCCCCGACCCTCCAAGTACCCCACCTACCTTCATCCTACCTTTGGAGCATTGCGAAGATCGAGATGCCATGACGCGGCCGATGTCAGCCACGTTCGGGGCCAAGCCCTGGCGCAGGGGAAACTACGACTCGGGGCCCCGGATAATTTTTGGGAAAGTCTTTGGGTCTGGGGTTTGAGGCGGTGAGGTCTACTTGGAGGTTCATGAGTCGTTATAAGCAAGGCAACTATACTTACAACCCATATTAGGGGACTTATAACCTCACTTATAACTTATAACCATAAACATCCAAGTAGGGTTTGAGGCCGTGAATTTAGAGTACAGGGCTTGCGGCTTTAGAGCTTAAGGTTTTGTTTCGAGGGTTTACGGCTCGAGGTTGTAAGGTTTAGCGAAGTCGGTAAACTGGCCCATCATGGCCGCCTAGCGACGCATTTCCAGGCCCGTTCTGGCCAATCGCGTGGTCTGTCCGTGCCAACCCCTGCAACCTAAACCCCCATAAACCCCCAAACTGTAAAACTGTAGAAGATTCCTAAACCCCAAGCCCTAAACATCCCTAAGCCCTAAATCCCTGCCAACCCCGGAACCTGCAGGAGCTTCTCCAGCTCCCGCGCATCGCGCCGGCGCAGCCGCTCGGCACCCTGCGCTCGCCTGAACGTCATTGGTGACACTTCTGTTCGGCCGTCGGGGTTTGTCTTTTAAAGTGCAATGGCTACTTTCTGTGCATAGGGCGAACTCTCTGCGGGAAGTAGCCTGCCAGTCAAGGGGCTTACACTGACAGCCGCCATAGAAGCACCTACAACTTCAACGTCGGACAATAAAAACCCTCAGGACACGACTCAGTATTTGACTCCGTTGAACCTTTTTTCTTTTACTCGTCACGGCTTCGACTTCGTTCACGTTGGTTGTTGTTTGCATTCCAACTACGTAGCTGTCCCACTCCCCTTCTTGACGTACTCGAGCGGCGACGACGTGCAATCCTGCCCGACCGAACAACCCCACCATCAGCTTCAACTTGGGCAACAAGCGCAAAAATGAAGTGCAGCCCGTCGGCGAGAAAGCCGAACAGGGTGAGAAGGTCGTTCAGCACCATCCGGCCAAATGGTCACCTCCGCCGTGTCGTCCAACTGGATGAGATATAGATCACGGCCATCTTCTGGTGGCCAACTTCCAACCGGGGTTTCACGTCCCTGAGCCCGGTAGAGCCTAGCAACAGCAAGTCGCCAGGCTCGCCTTCTATATCCCTGAATGGTATGTGGCGAAGCACTAGGCAACATGCTTTCTAGTTCCTCCATGCTCCCCGGGAAGCCAGGTTGCAGTAACACCGAGGGCGACGACACCGTCTGACTCGCACTCGTGGAGGAAGGGCCAGATCCAAATCCAGCCTCATGAGCCACCGCATTACAAATGTGACCTTCATAAGTGCCAGCTTTCATCGCCTCATTGTTCGCATGCACCTGAAGCCATTTGAGGGCCTCCGAGATAGCATCCCCAAGCAACCAGTCCATGTGCTGCAGGAGAGGGAGGGAGAGGGACGGGAAGGGCCAGCAACCTGCAAAACATCTGCAACCCGGGGCAGGATGGGGTTGCAGAGTTTTTGCGGATCGAGGATTGGGGCAGCGGCTAGGACCTAGCACCTGGGATCTAGGAGGAGTCGGGTGGCGGATTTTGTGGGGTTTGGAAGCAGTCTCGGAGGCATTTTATAATGGCTGACTGGCTAAGCGGCCAAGTGCTTACCGGCATCCGATGAACTACGAAATATAGTTATACAGTGTGAGGCAGTGGGGCATTTGGCAAAGCAGGCAGGCGGCAGCAAAGGCAAACTGGGCGGCATCAGGGAGGGCAGGGCAAGCACAGCAAGCCAAGCAAGAAACAAAGCAGCACAATGCCTCAACCCTAACACAAGCTAATGCCTCTAAGGCGGAATCAGAAGACAAAGCCTGAATCCTCAGGCGGAAGCCAAGCTAATGCCCGAAGCCTACGGCGGAACCGCAAGCTAACGCCTCAACCCTAAAGTGGAACCCCGACCCCCTCTTTTCCCACCAAAAGGGCAGGCCAGACCAGGCCAGGCCAGGCCAGACCAGGCCAGGCCAGGCCAGACCAGGGAACAAGGGCAGAGCGAGCTTAGCTGGGCGGGCGGACAAAGGCTCGGGTTGGAGTGGGTGAAAATTGTTTGGCTGGGCCTAGACGATCAAACCACTATCCGACTGTTATAAGTTATAAGGAGGCCGTTGTACTCAATCGAAATCAGTCAGAATTTTGCGGGGTGGTATTTGTGCATAGGCTGACGTCCTCGGCGCTGAATAAAGTCTGCCCCTTCATGTGATGCCCGAACACACAAAGGCCCCGTGACTGCAAGCGAATTTCATGATCTTGATGACCATGGCAGCTAGTGTTGGCTATGGCTATGCATCATAAGTTTCTCGAAAAGTGTGATGATGAGAGTTACATTCCCTCAGAATCGTTCGGCTCGCTTTAAAAACCACAGAGAAGCTGCAAAAAAAATCCGCTACAAAAAAATGCTCAAAATCGCAAAAAAAAACATCAGCAAAAAAAATACAAAAAATCAGCAAACCCAATCTGCAAAAATCCGCAATCCTGCTGCAAAAATAATACATTAATAATACATTTGCCAACCCCTGGTCTGTGGCTCTGAGGATCTTATAAAGGTAGACGGCAACCAGGTAGGCGGCGTGTCAGCCGGTGTCGTGGCAGTCGTCGGCGCCCATGTCTCCCAATTTGGCCGATCATCCCACTGTCCCTCTGCCCAGCTCTGTTGCTCTGCTCAGTGCTCGGCGGCAGGGGAACCACAGGGTGATGCCCATCCACCTAAGGATCCATCTTGTGCTGAGGCCATGCGATCAATGTGGGTCGATTCACCAGGCTCCATGCTAGGCGAGTCCGCTGGCTTTTCCTCCTCCACCGCGCATTGTTCATCTTCTTGTACACCAGGAAGAGCACGACCACGGCGAGCGTCCCGATCTTTGCGATAGGCCTCCAACCACGCTGGTCTCCAGTCTCCGTGCAGATACTTTTCCATCCTCTCACGACGCTTCATGGTCCCAACCGACCCACGGCCACCAGAGTGCCGTCGTTGCTCTTGGGCTGTCCGTGGACGGGCGTGCCACTCTCCGTGCTTATAAAACGTCACCCGCAGTCCCGCTGGAATCATCACCTGCAGCGGTCGTGGCCTCCGCCGGGTCTTCGTCAGGGACATGGCTGAAGTCCGCCCGCACTTGGAATTTCTCGCCATAAAGCGTGGTGGCCGAAACTGCTGGTCCGTCATCCCGATGTTCCCATCCAGTCACTGTGAACGCCTCTCCCTCTTCGCTGCCAGTCCCATTTTTTTTACGGCCACGCCGAGCGGCCCTCCTTTGGCTCCTCGCAGGGTGCCAGGTGAAGATCATCTTGGCCCCGCTTGGCCAGGCCCGGGCAGCAGCGCAAGAAGCAGGGCCGCAAACGCGAAGCCGTATTGGACGCTTGCCACCTCGCGCTGCAGGAGCGGGTCCTCCTCCGCCGCGCGCCCGATTGTCGTCGTGTCGACCTCCGTCTTGACGAACGACAATGGTGCATGCCTGTCCAATCGCAGCCTCCGTGGTGACGTATGGCAATGATGCCTGCCTCTCCAATAGTAGCCACAGGGCAGATCTTCGTTGCCTGTTTATCGGCTGTTGGAAGCCCTAAGAGCACAGGGTATCCTTGGCCAGCTTGGCTCTCGCTCTCCTCTGCAGGAAAAGCCGTCAGAGTTTAGGGCTTAGGGTTTAGGGCAAAAAGACAACTACATTATGTATATGTATACTCAACAACAAGACCTTGGAGATATGTTGAGCCCGTCGCTGTGGTGCAAGAGTTCCCATGTCGGGGTTACACAAGGGTTCAGAGTTGACAGGTTTAGGGAAGGTCTTCGCCGAAGCGGTCGCAATCATCTCTTCTTATCGTGGGACTTAGGGTCATGTTGATCTATAGGGTGGGTAGATTTCGTCAAGCATCCATTACTCTCCTTGTTTCAAGCCGGTTTAAGCCCGATCTACGTATGCAAACCATAACGACTGCTCTAAACTGCTTGTAACCGCTAGGGCCTGTTCGCAAGGAACAAATGCCCCATGCCCTTCAACCGCAAACCCTATAATGCCAGGCCTAAATCCCTATCGCCCAAAGCCCTACGACCTGACCAATAACTCCCCCACCCAACCCCTAAGTCTTAAACCCAGAAGCGAAAACCCCCAATGTAGAACCGCTTGGAGTTTATGGCTCAAGGTTTAGGGTGCAGGGCTTAGGCTCCAGGGCTAAGGGTTTAGGGGGAGCCCATACTTGGAGGTTCATAGGTAGTTATAAGTAAAATTGGAAGTAGGGTAACTATACTCATAACCTATATCAGGGGACTTAGAACCCCACTTATAGCTACCCATGAACCTCCAAGTAAGATGCTAAAGCCCTGCCAGCCCACACCTGCCACCCGTTTCGGCCCGGTGTGCCAAAGCTTCGCCGCCCTCCATTTCGCCGGCTTCCTCTGGCCCGAAGGGTCCATGTACCCATATAACATATACTTTGGGCCCAATGTACCTATATAGGGAGTACTTTAAGGCCAATGTATATACTATATGAGTACATGGACCCTTAGGGTGGGGCATCGCTCGGGGTCTAGGATTCAATCGTGTAGTTCATAGGACTTAGCCTGGAGGGTTGGGATTTTTCGCTTTAAATACATTGGAGGTATTGTTTCCTGGGCTTAGGGGTGTAGTTAAGTGTTTAGGATATAAGAAACCAGAGCCTTGCACACGCGACCATAAATAAACCTTTAATGCTCGAACCCGCAAATTTTCCACTCCCACCAACCCCAGAACCTAACCAGTCTAGCCAGTGTAGCGTTTTTGGCCCAAAAACTCTGACTTGATACGGTCACAAAGACTTCTTGGGTATGGGAACTATCACGTAAGGGTTTGCGGTGGGTGAGGCTGTTTGCCTGAACTATACCTTGCGAAGCCGCCCGCCTGAACCCTTTGCGCCTCAAGCCTCTACCCTAAGGCTCCAAAGTAGTTCCTTTTTGGGGTTCATATATAGAATCCTATAAGGTAATCCCAAAAAGGAACTACTATGGAGCCTCTGGGTAGCCTCTAACTGCTCATTGATTGTTTTTAAGCCCAGGTTACGTGTCTTTGCTTCCTACATCGCAGTGCGGAACGCTCTACCCATAGGCCCCAAAGTAGTTCCTTTTTAAGAGTACCTATTAGGATTCTATATATGAACCCCAAAAAGGAACTACTTTGGGGCCTTAGGGTACCTTGCCAGGCTGTAGCCTGGTTCGGCTTCACACAGACAGAAAGCGGGTCCCAGCAACCGCTGGACGTCGACAAGCTCTAGACCCAAGAGTAACCTAGGAATAAAAAGGGTGCCCTTTTTGGTTTCAAGCGACTTATAGGGGCACCTGAGCCCTGAAAAAGGGAATAAGGGCCGAGAGCTTGAAAGCAAGCAGTTGCATGACTGTGGGCCCCTAGAAGCACTCACAAATCGACTCCGGATCGTTCCTTACTCATACGACATGAAAACATCCTTCATTGGCGGGTTTGGGGGTGTTTAGGATACTCTGGGGTTTAGGCTTTAGGGTTTCAGCGCCTAGCAGCCTACACAACTTGAAGCCTATGGGCAAAGCACGGTCGTCTTGCTACTAAGTGGAGTACTATCCAAATTACCCAAAAGCCCCATAAACCCCTAAACCCCTAACCCCAGACCCTAGACCCCTAAAACCTACATCCCCAAAACTCCCAAACTTCCTAAACGCCTACAGTAAAAGCCAGAAAGTTGGAATATGATTCTCCTAACCCTTCGATGGTAAATTATAGGGTATCCTACCCTGAAACCATATTCCAACTTTCTGGAGTTCCCTGTAAGCCCTGAACTTTTGAAGGCTCAGGATCCCTGGCCCAAACCTCTCAAGCCCTACTCCGGCGGCTCCTTGGCAGAGTTCCGGAAACCTGGGGTCGTCCGCACATTGGGGCTAGGGGGCTTAGGGCTTAGGGTTTAGGGCTTAAGGTTTATGAAGCTTCGAGTTCATGGGCTTATAGGGATTAGGGTTTAGGACGTTTACAAGGCTCA